GTAGATGACACCAAATCGCGTTTATTTGAAAATGTTGATGATAAAAATTCAATTGAAATAACTGATATTCCAAAAGTAGAAATCTCAAACATTCCACTCTTAAATATAATCGAAACTTCTTCAACCGATATTGAAGATGACACCAAATCGCGTTCAATTGATAATATTGATGATAAAAATTCATTTGAAAACACTGATATTCCAAAAGTAGAAATCTCAAACATTCCACCCTTAAATATAATCGAACCTTCTTCAACCGATATTGAAGATGACACCAAATCGCGTTCAATTGATAATATTGATGATAAAAATTCATTTGAAAACACTGATATTCCAAAAGTAGAAATCTCAAACATTCCACCCTTAAATATAATCAAAACTTCTTCAACCGATATTGAAGATGACACCAAATCGCGTTCTATTGATAATATTGATGATAAAAATTCAATTGAAAAAACTGATATTCCAAAAGTAGAATCCTCAAATATTCCATCCTTAAATAAAATCCAAACTTCTTCAACTGATATTGAAGATGACACCACATTGCGTTCTATCGATAATATTGATGATAAAAATTCAATTGAAAACACTGATATTCCAAAAGTAGAATCCTCTAATATTCCATCCTTAAATAAAATCCAAACTTCTTCAACTGATATTGAAGTTGACACCACTTTGCGTTCTATCGATAATATTGATGATAAAAATTCAATTGACAAAACTGATATTCCAAAAGTAGATTCCACTAATATTCCATCCATAAATAAAATGGAAATTTCTACAACCGATATTAAAGAAGACACCAAATCCATAAAAAACATTAACAATTCAAATATAGAATCCTGTAATGAACTATCGTTAAATAAAACTAATTCATCTTCGTCCTATAATGATAAAGACACCAAATCACGTTCAATCGATTATGTTAATGATAAAAATTTATTTGTAAATGCTGATCTTCCAATAGTAGTAACCTCAAATATTCCATCCACAAATAAAATCGAAACTGTTTCAACCGATATTGTAGATGACACCAAATCGCGTTTATTTGAAAATGTTGATGATAAAAATTCAATTGAAATAACTGATATTCCAAAAGTAGAAATCTCAAACATTCCACCCTTAAATAAAATCGAAACTTCTTCAACCGATATTGAAGATGACACCAAATCACGTTCAATCGATAATCTTGATGATAAAAATTCAATTGAAAACACTGATATTCCAAAAGTAGAAATCTCAAACATTCCACCCTTAAATATAATCGAAACTTCTTCAACCGATATTGAAGATGACACCAAATCGCGTTCAATTGATAATATTGATGATAAAAATTCAATTGAAAAAACTGATATTCCAAAAGTAGATTCCACTAATATTCCATCCATAAATAAAATGGAAATTTCTACAACCGATATTAAAGAAGACACCAAATCCATAAAAAACATTAACAATTCAAATATTGAATCCTGTAATGAACTATCGTTAAATAAAACTAATTCATCTTCGTCCGATAATGATAAAGACACCAAATCACGTTCAATCGATTATGTTAATGATAAAAATTTATTTGTAAATGCTGATCTTCCAATAGTAGTAACCTCAAATATTCCATCCACAAATAAAATCGAAACTGTTTCAACCGATATTGTAGATGACACCAAATCGCGTTTATTTGAAAATGTTGATGATAAAAATTCAATTGATATAACTGATATTCCAAAAGTAGAATCCTCAAATATTCCATCCTTAAATAAAATGGAAGCTTCTTCGACCGATATTGAAGATGACACCAAATCACGTTCAATCGATAATCTTGATGATAAAAATTCAATTGAAAACACTGATATTCCAAAAGTAGAATCCTCAAATATTCCATCCTTAAACAAACTCGAAACTTCTTCAACCGATATTAAAGATGACACCAAATCGCGTTCAATTGATAATATTGATGATAAAAATTCAATTGAAAAAACTGATATTCCAAAAGTAGATTCCACTAATATTCCATCCTTAAATAAAATGGAAACTTCTTCAACCGATATTAAAGATGACACCAAATCGTGTTCAATTGATAATCTTGATGATAAAAATTCAATTGAAAAAACTGATATTCCAAAAGTAGAATCCTCAAATATTCCAACCTTAAATAAAATCCAAACGTCTTCAACTGATATTGAAGATGACACCACATTGCGTTCTATCGATAATCTTGATGATAAAAATTCAATTGAAAAAACTGATATTCCAAAAGTAGAATCCTCAAATATTCCAACCTTAAATAAAATCCAAACGTCTTCAACTGATATTGAAGATGACACCACATTGCGTTCTATCGATAATCTTGATGATAAAAATTCAATTGAAAAAACTGATATTCCAAAAGTAGAATCCTCAAATATTCCAAACTTAAATAAAATCCAAACGTCTTCAACTGATATTGAAGATGACACCAAATCACGTTCAATCAATAATATTGATGATAAAAATTCAATTGAAAAAACTGATATTCCAAAAGTAGAATCCTCAAATATTCCATCCTTAAATAATATCCAAACTTCTTCAACTGATATTGAAGATGACACCACATTGCGTTCTATCGATAATATTGATGACAATAATTCAATTGAAAACACTAATATTCCAAAAGTAGATTCCTCTAATATTCCATCCTTAAATAAAATCCAAACTTCTTCAACTGATATTGAAGATGACACCACATTGCGTTCTATCGATAATATTGATGATAATAATTCAATTGAAAACACTAATATTCCAAAAGTAGATTCCTCTAATATTCCATCCTTAAATAAAATCCAAACTTCTTCAACTGATATTGAAGATGACACCACATTGCGTTCTATCGATAATATTGATGATAATAATTCAATTGAAAACACTAATATTCCAAAAGTAGATTCCTCTAATATTCCATCCTTAAATAAAATCCAAACTTCTTCAACTGATATTGAAGATGACACCACATTGCGTTCTATCGATAATATTGATGATAAAAATTCAATTGAAAACACTGATATTCCAAAAGTAGAATCCTCAAATATTCCATCCTTAAATAAAATCCAAACTTCTTCAACTGATATTGAAGATGACACCACATTGCGTTCTATCGATAATATTGATGATAAAAATTCAATTGAAAACACTGATATTCCAAAAGTAGAATCCTCAAATATTCCATCCTTAAATAAAATCCAAACTTCTTCAACTGATATTGAAGATGACACCACATTGCGTTCTATCGATAATATTGATGACAATAATTCAATTGAAAACACTAATATTCCAAAAGTAGATTCCTCTAATATTCCATCCTTAAATAAAATCCAAACTTCTTCAACTGATATTGAAGATGACACCACATTGCGTTCTATCGATAATATTGATGATAATAATTCAATTGAAAACACTAATATTCCAAAAGTAGATTCCTCTAATATTCCATCCTTAAATAAAATCCAAACTTCTTCAACTGATATTGAAGATGACACCACATTGCGTTCTATCGATAATATTGATGATAATAATTCAATTGAAAACACTAATATTCCAAAAGTAGATTCCTCTAATATTCCATCCTTAAATAAAATCCAAACTTCTTCAACTGATATTGAAGATGACACCACATTGCGTTCTATCGATAATATTGATGATAATAATTCAATTGAAAACACTAATATTCCAAAAGTAGATTCCTCTAATATTCCATCCTTAAATAAAATCCAAACTTCTTCAACTGATATTGAAGATGACACCACATTGCGTTCTATCGATAATATTGATGATAATAATTCAATTGAAAACACTAATATTCCAAAAGTAGATTCCTCTAATATTCCATCCTTAAATAAAATCCAAACTTCTTCAACTGATATTGAAGATGACACCACATTGCGTTCTATCGATAATATTGATGATAATAATTCAATTGAAAACACTAATATTCCAAAAGTAGATTCCTCTAATATTCCATCCTTAAATAAAATCCAAACTTCTTCAACTGATATTGAAGATGACACCACATTGCGTTCTATCGATAATATTGATGATAATAATTCAATTGAAAACACTAATATTCCAAAAGTAGATTCCTCTAATATTCCATCCTTAAATAAAATCCAAACTTCTTCAACTGATATTGAAGATGACACCACATTGCGTTCTATCGATAATATTGATGATAAAAATTCAATTGAAAACACTGATATTCCAAAAGTAGAATCCTCAAATATTCCATCCTTAAATAAAATCCAAACTTCTTCAACTGATATTGAAGATGACACCAAATTGCGTTCTATCGATAATATTGATGACAATAATTCAATTGAAAACACTAATATTCCAAAAGTAGATTCCTCTAATATTCCATCCTTAAATAAAATCCAAACTTCTTCAACTGATATTGAAGATGACACCACATTGCGTTCTATCGATAATATTGATGACAATAATTCAATTGAAAACACTAATATTCCAAAAGTAGATTCCTCTAATATTCCATCCTTATATAAAATCCAAACTTCTTCAACTGATATTAAAGATGATATCAAATCGCGTTTAATTGATAATATTGATTATAAAAATTCATTTGAAAATGCTGATATTCCAAAAGTAGAATCCTCAAATATTCCATCCTTAAACAAACTCGAAACTTCTTCAACCGATATTGAAGATGACACCAAATCGCATTTAATTGATAATATTGATGATAAAAATTCAATTGAAAAAACTGATATTCCAAAAGTAGATTCCACTAATATTCCATCCATAAATAAAATGGAAGCTTCTTCAACCGATATTGAAGATGACACCAAATCGCGTTCAATTCATAATATTGATGATAAAAATTCAATTGAAAAAACTGATATTCCAAAAGTAGAATCCTCAAATATTCCATCCTTAAATATAATCGAACCTTCTCCAATCGACATTTCATCTTTGAATAAAAACGAAACTACTTTAAACGTAATTGGAGATGATAAAAAGTCCTTAGAAAGTATTTACAATTCAATTATTGAATCCTGTAATAACCTATCATTAAATAAAACTGATACTTCCTCGCTCGTTAATGATGATGACACTAAATTACATTTTATTGATAATTTTGATAATAAAACTTTAATTGAAAACAGTGAAAAGTCAATAATAGAATTATGTAATATTATGACTGTTAATAAAACAGAATTACGTACAATTGATGTAAATAATGAAATCTTATTTGAGAATTCTGACGATTTATTCAAAAAACGTGATGACTCTAAAAATAATACTTGTACATCTAAATTGTCAAATTCATCGATATCTAAATCAATTGGTTCTACTAGTAATAAATGTATAAAAGTTACTAAAGCAATAAAAATTAAATCATTTGAAAAATCTGCAAATCATACAAAACAGTCTTCAAGTAAAGATAACTCTTCAAATAAAAGTGACAAGCAATTTAGTATTAATAAAATTGAGAAAAGAAATTCAACTCCTTTTTTAAAAAATTTAAAATCTAACAAAGTGATAAAAAGTGATAAAATAAAAGGATATATGGCATCAACAGAATCACGAGATAGAAAAGTGGAAATTAATTTACAATCAAAATCTAATATTGTGGCTCGTCAAAAACATTTTACTGAAGTACAAAAAACATATTTAAAATCTGTTTCTAAAATACCTATTACAAACAATTCAAGTAAAACTTCATTGAAAAAATCTATATCTTATTTAAAACCAGAATCAGATAAAATTAGAATATTAAGTGTTCCACCACCAAAAAACTCCTTTGAAATTATTACTTCATCAAAAAAATTAAATATTACATCTTTACCAGTTAATCCAGTTGAGAATGAAAAATTATCTAAAAAAAACAATAATACGGTTAAAGGAGAAGTTTTATCTAATAATTATAAACTCTTGTCTACACCCGAAGTAGTGTACTTACAGCCAATCCTTTTTCCTTCTATCTCAATATCCAAACAACCATCTTCTATAATTGAATCAATATCATTTGAGGACGCAGAAATGATTTCAACTTCCAACTCCGACAATAAACGGGGATCAGAGGTACCTAGATCATTTTTTCTTTAATTAACTGTAAGAATGACAATATCACACTTTAACTGTAGTATTGAATAATAAATTTCAAGTATTTGATAAGATAAACTATCAAATCAAAAATGATCATGGTTATTCTTTAAGATTTAAAATCATAAATTTAATAGTTAATAGAAAATAATATTGGAATTTGTAATATAAATATAATAATAAATTTACTTTAATAATATTATATAGGTTTTCTCTCTGGCACAAGTAACTATTTTTAAAAGAGAACATTAAATTTAAATATAAATATTACCAATTCTGATTTCTTTATTATAAAATAATAATTGTAATTATATTTAGTATACTTTTTTCTTAATTTAATAATTTGTAAGTTATTAAAAAATAATAACAAATGCAATATCTATTAATGAACTTTATATTTCAATTGTAATATTTAATACAATAAGTTAAACAATATTGTTAATTTTGTAAAGTTTGTTACTGTCTTAATGATAAATATATTTTTTAACGGAAGAGGAATATTGTATTCTTCGTGTATCTTTATGGATGGGATAATTTATTTGTATATTACTAGAAAATAAGTAATATGATTGTTATTAAAATATTAAATTCGTTTTTAACTGAAACTTCTTGTTTACCCCAAGTAGCGGGATTAAGGCGAGGATGAAATAGAAGAAATGAGAATTCTTGTTATTACTTCAACCTCATAATAAAAATTCTGTATTTATAGCAATAGATATAATTCACAGATATTATTGTTTAGTTAATAAATACTTTTTTAATAGTAAGTAAATTTAAAATAATATTTAGAGTAAACAAAATGTTGACAAAATTAAATATTCAACTAAAGAAACTATAAAATATGGATCAATGTAAGTTTATAGTAAAATGTTAAATATGTATTTATCATTTTTTATTATTGACTACATAAGAATTTTATGGAAAAAAACTTAGTTCATGTTATTTCCTATAATATTCACATCCAAAAATTATTGATCACTCAATTTTTACTAAAAATGGAGTAAACTGAACAAATTTTTAATAATAACATTTTTTTGGGGAAATAATACGCTATAATTTTATTTCTATTTTTGGCTAGAATCCAACAAGTTTTTCCAAAAAAAAAAACAGTTATTTTTATCTTAAAAAAATTAAATAAATTCTCTATTTTAACACGCTTCTATTAGTTTTACATGTATGTTGTTTGTTTGTTTGTAACTCTCCAAACGCCACGCGTTATCGCATATTCCGTCGTCTAGACTAGACTGTCATAACGCATTCACCCCACCCCACGCCTCGCTCATCACACGCCGGCAATACTATTCCTGTAAAAATTTATTTTTGGTTATCGTACCCGTACACACGTGCGTGTCATCAATATTATATATATATAAACAAATTTTTTTTTTGACTGACCAATACCGTCCTCGTGTAATGCGCCTTACGTATATATATATTTATATATTCCTACCGTCAATGCCGCCATTTATATTTCAGGTATAGCGTTCCCCCCGCCCACAAAACACGGCTATACCTCGTGCATGATACGTTTACGTACATATGTCGCTTTATATGTATATATATACAGAGTGATTTTTTTATAATAACCCACTCAATTACTTACAGAGTAATGATAATTTAAACATTTTTTTTTTGGTTATCTTTAGTTACANTTTTTTTTTATTATTATCTTTAGTTACACATTATTCTTGAATTATTAACTATGTAATACTTTTTAAGTTCATCCCTTATGCCTGGTAAGAGTGTCAACTTTGTTTTTTTAAATGGTAACATATATTTTTAATTTAATGAAATGTTTGAGTTTTTAATTCAATAGTAAATGGCATTTGAATTTTTAATGAAACTTTATTAGCTTATTAGATATAAACATTTAAAGTTTCAAATTTTTGAGTTAATATTTAGGTATAATACACAAGGGATTACAAATACAGGTAGCTAATTGGTTTTTTATGACTTCGATATTAGCAGGTACACAGCATTGTTATTATCAATGATAGTAAGGTACCTTGTTGTGAGTTTATAAATACACTGACTGACAATACAAAAAGTATATCTATTGATAGTCATAATTGATAATAAACAATCCGTGACTGTGATAGCAATATCATAAAAAAACAATTAGCTACCTGTATTTGTAAACCCTTATACATGTATATTAACTAAAAAATTTGAAACTTTAAGTGTTTATATGTAATAAACAAATTAAGTTTCATTAAAAATTCAAATGCCATTTACTATTGAATTAAAAACTCATACATTTCATTAAATTAAAAATATATGTTACCATTTAAAAAAACAAAGTTGACACTCTTACCAGGCATAAGGGATGAACTTAAAAAGTATTACATAGTTAATAATTCAAGAATAATGTGTAACTAAAGATAGTAATAAAAAAAAATTTTTAATTATTATTATTCTGTAAGTAATTGAGTGGGTTATGATAAAAAAATCACCCTGTATATATATATATATATATTCTAATTACTATTAAAAATATATATTAACACGCTTTATTCTCATTAAGAGATATAGAGTGTATTCATTCCGATTACAAAGGACGATTCCCGTATCGTCATTTTTCGTCACTACCTCCATGTTCCGGGAGTGAGTAATTTACGGGCCTGCTGCTTTCCTTGGATATGGTAGCCTTTTCTCAGACTCCCTCCCCGGAATCGAACTCTGTATTCCCGTTACCCGTTACAACCATGATATTGATAACTACTATCATAACATAAAACTATATTTATTAACACTTATATTAGTTTCACCTGTATGTATTTTTGTATTTACGTATGTTTGTAACTCTCCACGCGCCATGTATTATTCTCGCGTATCCCGTCATCTATGACCTTGAGATTAGACTGTCGTAACGCATTCACCCCGCTCACCACTCTACGATAAACACTATTCCTGTATAATTTTATTTTTGATTTTCGTACCCGTACATGCATGCGTATCATCAATATTATATATAAATATAAAAATATTTTTATTGTTTATTATTAGATATAAACATTTAAAGATTCAAATTTTTTTGAGTTAATATATGTGTATAAATACATAAGGAATTACAAGTACAGGTAANATATTTTTATTGTTTATTATTAGATATAAACATTTAAAGATTCAAATTTTTTTGAGTTAATATACGTGTATAAATACATAAGGAATTACAAGTACAGGTAGCTAATTGGTTTTTTATGACGATATTAGCAAGCATGTAGCCTTTATTATCAACGGTCATAAGACACATTGTTGTGAGTTTTTTCTGTATTGCCAGTTAGTGTAACTGGCAATACAGAAATTATATCTATTGATGGTCATAATTTACAATAAACACTTCGTGACTGTGACAGCGATGTCATAAAAATTAAAAATAAATATAGTTAAAAAAAACTAAAAAAACATGCTTTTAAAGCATATCGAAGTAAAAATTTAAAAATAAGCTTAAAACAATAATAAACGAAAAATACTAGTATTATTGTGAAAAAAAGCGGGAGGGCTTTGTGCCATATTTTTTGTATATTGTGTATACATTCTGTATATTTATTTTTTGAAATTAAATTGAACCTTATTTCAAATAGTTCATAATTCTTAAATTAATTTTTATTATTACTTACTTCTTAAGACCTATTTTTCAACATACACTAAAATGAATAAACCATTTATACTCCGGGATGAGTCATTAGTCTATCTTAAATTAATTAAAAGCTATAAATATATTTTAAATTGATATATTTTCAACTACATCATTTTAATAGAAATTTGAGTGGCATTCATCGGTTAATACCATCTACCTTAATAGCACTATAAATAGTAAATGTAGATAGATATCATTATAACTAATTAACTTAAAGTTATCAACATCAAATAATTTACAGTTCTTATAACCATTTTTCTTAGAAGTGTGTATGCAAAACTATTTTTCTAGAACTTAAGCTCTAAGAATGTGTGCGATTATTAAAATCCAATACATTAACATTATATTATAAATATTTATTTATCATGATAAATTATCGATAAAAAAATGTAACACTATAGTAATTTTAATAAAAAAGAATTAAATTTTGATTATATTCATTAAAAAATTCGAATTTTTTTACAATTTTAAATAATTGTAACGGTAATTTTCTTCTGGTAAATGTCATACTACCTTGTTATCTAATGAGACTCAATAAAACTGTTTCAATTAAATATGTTTTTATGGGATATTTATGTTTATATTAATTTGACTAAACAATAAAAACACGAATTATTTTATTCGCCTTATTATTTTTTATAGTTTTAGTACGAATAAAACTACAAGGGTTCAATTGCCTAAATATTCCCCATATCATTAAAATTTATTTTCCAATTATTGAAATAAGTAATGAAAAATTAAATTATATTTAAACGATATTACAAAGATTTAAATCTCATTCATACAGTTCTATTTAATTTATGACTCCGTTTAAGATTTACTATATAATTTTTTCACAGATAAATTCATATAATTTAAGTGGTGTATCATCATTAATCCCAAATTTATTTGTTGTCCAAGAAACTGAAAAATCATCGTCTTATGTCTCATTCATACCATAATAGCGTGCCAAAAATTTCTGTGACTACTTACGAATCAGTCGAAGAAAATGTTGAAGTAAACAATTATTTTAATTCACAGAAAATTCGAAATAATTTCAACTCTAACGTTACTACTTTGTCTTCTAATCCTTCTCAGCGGAAAATAAATGTTGATTGGAAATCTATGACTTCAGAAGATAGTAATTTAAAACACTCTTTGTCCCCAATTTCATCATCAGATATCAATTGTTTGACGGATATTGAAGCTATTTCAGATTCCGATGATGAAAATAATTTTATTCAAACTGGTTGTTTGAGTCCAAGTCTTCAGAAACTTTGTATTCTTACTGATATAGAAGACTTAAGTGAAGATGAAAGATTATCATCAGTAAATAAAATAAATGAGGTGCATACAGATACTGAAAATTTCTCAGATGAACTAGATTACTTGAAAAATGAATTAAAAGAAAAGAAATATATCGAAGACTTCTTTCCTCAACCACATCGTGAAGTTTCATTCCATTCTAAAGATAGTATAATTTGCACTTTAACGCCTACAAATGAAATAAATCCTGTATGGCTTAAGTCACCTCGTGAAGAACTTGAAGGTTTTGAATCAGAAGAAGAAATAGTAACAATCCCCGAAAATTATAATGACAAATCTTGTAAAGGCAATTCAGATATATATCATCATGATAATTACAGCGGCGTAGTAGAATCCTCAGAATTTATTAAAAAATATCAAAATAAACAAAAAAGTTGCGTTTTAATGACGAACAAAAAATCATTTCTATCAGACGCCGATTTTATAAAAAAAAGAGTACGTAATAAACGTCAAAATAGTAGTGACAAAAGAGAAAATTTTGAAAAAAAATCAACTGAATCATTGAAAACGGAATTAAAAAGTTTATTGACACCGTCTCTCAATAATATAATGCAATCAACAGGATTACAATTAAATAATAAAAATTATGCTAATAAGCGTCATCCAGAGTACAATAATTTGAATAAATTGGTTATACATGATAATATCAATGGCTTTAGTGTTTCCTTTAATTTTGAAAATCAAAATTCTGTAATTTTAAATATTGGTAGGGATTCAGAAAATTTATCTTTGAAATGGTATAAAAACGGATCTGCATCAGGTAGGATTAATTTATGATAAAAATGTAAAACTAAATATAACTGACTGTAACAAAAGTAGTTTAAAAAATTTAAACCGCTCGTGTTATATAGAATTATGCTTATATATAACTATTAAAACCCACCAATGTAGATATATTACCTGTTTTATAATACATTTATAAATCCTTTACACGTAGTGAAATATTAAAACAGTAAACAATTTCTTATTAGATAATAGCCTGTTAAAAAATCACATTTGATCAATTTTTACTCTCTTAATGATAGTTTTATGAACATTATCCTTCAAATAGAACTAAGCTGTCTATATTTAAAGTATTTAATGAAGTATATAAAGTTAAAATGAACAACAAAAAAACAATCAAATCTCAAAAACATGGTGAGGGGATATTAAATATTTAAGTAATTAATATCACGAGAGCTGGAAAACTATCTATAAAATATTACATTACGATATTAAAAACTATAGAATGTTGCGTTTTAAACAAAAAAAATCACTAATATGAACAGTTTAAATAAACTTATGGATAAAAATTTATTTTATATAAATAGATAATTGTAAAAATGGCGAAGGAATTAAACTAATGAATATATGATTTGTAATATAATTATTGGATTTTATTAAATAGACATTATTGATATCCGTTAATTATTAAGTAAACAAATGTATTTAATTAAATATAGAACACCTGAATTTATGTAACAAAATTAACTTATACCTAGTTCACTATCCTTGGAGGAAATAAATAACACTTCCTTACATTAATGCTGCAACTAATATAATAAGCTATTATTTAGTATTTTCGGCATTATTTTGCAGTGATATTATTATTAAATACAGAGTATTTTAATTATAATGATAAATGTGTCTAAAAGTAAATAAGCATGTATTGATTTTATTTTCACATTTTAGGAAGTGAAGTCAACTTATCACAATACCAAAATGAAAAGTCTTTAAGTTGTTCTGGTAAGTTTTTTTATAAACAATTCCGTTATTTAAATCCTTTAATTTTCTTTCATGTATATTAAAAACACGAATTTATGTTTCTTCCAAATTATATTATCTCGATGATCCCTAGCTTTATTGATTTTAACTAAGTAACATTTCATCAATAAAATACTCCTAATTTTCTTTACTAATGATATTGTTATAATTTAACGCTTAGTCAAGTTTTTTTATACGTTGTTTTGATGTATCTTTTAACTAATATTAATATGTGCTTTATATAAAGCTCATAAACTAAAAACTAATGTGTTAAATTATGTTTTTTAATTTGAAAATATGTTTATGGTAATTAAACTAAAATAATAAATAGATTTTAAGTAATTCTTTTTAATTATGAATCTTATACAATTAACATCTCTTATGATTTCTATGGCAAAATCTTTTAGATCATTATTTGATGGATTCTCTCACCAAACCTAACACAATTTATAATGAAGTATTTTTAGATAATGCGATAAAAAAAAGTAGAAAAGAATTTGAAAAATTAATTAAAGATGTAGATGGCTTAGAAAATGAAGTAACTAATATGAAAAAGAAAAATTTTAGAAAAGACTATGAAATAAATACTTTTAATACGGAAGATTCGTTTGACATAGAAAAAAATTTTAAAAAATTACAATTTACTGTATTTCAACTACTAAGTTACGTTAAATGTCAAGAAAATTATTTACGTGATTCATTGATTGATATAAAGAAATCTTTAAATGATTTAAATGTAAATAAAATTTCACCAATATATAATATTCAAAAAATATTAGAACCTAGTCTAAGAGGTAACTTTAAAACAGCTAGTTTACCCTACCATTGGTGGAATAGATCTATGCCGTGTTTACCATTGATTCAAAATTGTAATACATTTTTGGAATCACAAAAATCAGTGAATAAAAAATATTTTTCATACAAAAATAAAGCAATGTCAACTTCAACATTATTTAAAGATGAAAATTCTGCATACTGTATTTGGTTACCTTACACTAGACCAGGTGAGATATGTTTTAGTTTTTATGTTTGTTGATAACTATTGCTACTAACCACTATATCCTTTTTATCCTATAAATCCTTAACATAAACGAAGCAATGGAAATTTCTATTAAATTTCATAGAAAAATATCTAATGAATTTGATTTGAAATAGAATCGCTGAAAAAAAATGGTCGCGCTAAAGGAAAACCCTTAATGGTAAGAACTCCATCGGAGAGTACAGTACCAGATAATTTTGAACACCTAGATGAATGGAAACCATTAGACTATGCAAATATATCACCTGATTTAGTACAAGAAAAATTGAAAACCATGCTCAATGAACCAGGAGACCATGATGAGACCCTTACTAATATACTTATTGACATGTTGATCGAACAAGAAACTGCCAAATTGGCTGCTTCTGGAGAAATATCTTCGTGTTCTTCAGAAAGCGATCCGCATGAAACCTCTAATAGTGAACTACCGAAATATATTCATCCAATACCAATAATATCATCTCCAAAAGTTCGAAGAAATGGAGTAGGTGGATCTCAACGACTTTCAGCAAACCAAAGACCTACTCTTAGAGAAATCTGTAAATCTCATGATAGTGATTCCGACAACGAATACGATTATATTGTTACTGAGCCCCAAGAAAAAACATCCACAAGAAAAGTAACTTTTAGATTGGAATCAGAAGATGATGAGATCATTTATCCGGCTCAAAGTGATGACGAAAGTGAAATTATTACAATGTCTTCAAAAATAAATCAACCTATAATATTAGAAGACGTTAAATTTGATGCATCCATTAATGTTGCTGAAAAAACATTAAAAAGAGTAGAACGGAGATTTGAACGAATGGCATCTGAAACATTGGAAGATAATTCCATCGCTAAAAATGCTGTTGAAGGAGAGTATCATAAAATCGTTTCCCAGCTTTCAAATGAAGAGGTTGATGTTGCTAATCAAATTTGGGATGGAACTGGTAAATTATAATAATTATAAAGGCTTCAATAATAACTAACTGTATACTAACTAGTAAAAATACAATTAATTTTGATTTAATGTTTAGTAACTGTAATTAAGTCTATAATGGTAACTTATTATTAGTAAAAATTTATTTTATTTAAAGCAGGGACTGAAACCAATTTTCTAAAAATCGGTTGAAGGCGATTTTTCCGGATGCTTTATTATTTAAAACCGAGACTCAAAATTGAAAACGTAAATATTTCAAATGGTTTCAGTCCCTAATTGAAAGCATTAATTAAAAAACAAAAGTAAGTAATTTTTATTAATTAAAATTATCAAAGCAACGTATAACAAAACATTAAATATGACAGTTATTAAATAGAATTAATGTATTTAGTTGCAATAAAAACATCATAATAATAGATTAAGTATAATAACAACAAATGAACCACTTTTAAAAACCTATACCAGACTAAAAAATATAATGATGAGAAAAAAAATATTATTGGGTTACCTATCATTTATATATTAATTTAAAATCGAGAGAACTACAAGAAATCTCACGATAATATATACCGAATAAATTTTGAAAAAAATTGATATACTTTCAATTTAACAAAGGGGAACATATGAAAGTCTATATCTTACGTTGTTTCAACAATATACGTTTTTTTGTGATAGGTTTATAAACATATAGCTAACTATATTATAATTAAATTTAGATTCCTTTGCAAACAATGGCCTTTTATTTATTTTTACATGCACGTGGTCAATTAAATTTTTTTTTTTAATTTTCAAAAAATAAAAAAAATATATTGTAATATATATTTTTTAAAATAAGTGGTTCAAAAGTTACCTTTTTCACGTTTCGTATTTAATTAACATGTTTAATCCTATAACCTCTTTGTTTGTGTATACAGAGCCCAGCACAGAAATAACAACTAACGCAATCAGTATATTATACCAGAATTCCATAGATAAAATCCCACCCAAACCAAATCCTAGATATTCCATCGATATTAGTACTGCTTTATCCTTAGATGAGGATAATACAAATTATTCAACCAAAAAACAGTTTTGGGAAGAAAAAAGTAAGAGTGCGTATCAACCACCACTTCCTAAGCCTCGTCATAGTATATCTTTACCTGTAAATCCTAACGAAAGATCAATAATGAAAAATTCTTCTTTGGATCTTAATTGTACATCATTCGATACTTCTGATCATGCAGAAATATCTGAAATGATTAAAAAACCATTGATGAGTAATCAAACTACAAACAATTTTGTAGTTAATGATTCGACTTGTCAACAAATAAAAGGTATAGATGATATGCCAAAATCAATAACCTTAGAAAATCATTCTTATAAAGCTAGACCAATAAATCGCTTAGATTCTGAAGCTGAATACATACAAAAGTATGGCGAGGAATCTCTAGCATATGAAAATCAAGGATTTCAAGAAGATGATTTGAACGATGTAAATAGTACGAAACATATTCAAAGCTTAGAAGAGTCAACTTTAAAAAATCCAATTAATAAAGAAATAACATCCAATCAATATATTGAACAAATTAAACCACAAATATTAAGCATGCAAATGGAACAAGAATTTTCTCCGGAACATAAATCATTAAAAAATATAACTAACAAAAATTCACTAAGTCAAGAAGTTCTAATTAATCGTCAAATCCATAAACATATTTTCTCAAATGAATTAGATGAACAAATTGATTCGCTCATTCCAGAGGTAAAACATTTTAAAGTTAATTCTGAAACTGATTTTTCAACAGATTTGCTAATTAACAAGTATGTAGAAAAATCATCAAGTATAAGTGAAAAATCAATTACAAAAACAGAATCTAATGAGTCTTCTACTATTGATGATTTACCAGAAGAAAAAATAAATAAAAATGCTAACATAATTTCTAAATATTCTTCTAGTTTATCACAGGATCTTATAGATGAAATACCTTTAGACACATGTAGTAAAATTGAACAAAGTGAAAAAAATAAGCTTCAAACTGAATATATTAGTTCTTCATTAAATAAAGATTTACAACATGAATATGTAATTAATCCTATTGAAGAAACTAAAAAAGTTCATATTATACATACTCCAGAAGAGCATATTCAAGATACAATATGGGAGGTAACTCAAATAAGATCCGATAGTCAAGATATCATAGAAAATGTAAACACTAGAAAGCAAGAAGAATTTCAAAATAAATCTGTTAAGCAAGATAACATATTAGAGTTAACTGAAATTTCTAAAAATGACATGACAAACAATTTAGCTAAAGATATAGCTGAACAGTTGGTAAATGAAATAGAAATCGAACTAACGAAACGTCAAGACGTTTTGGCAAATTTGCAACATTTAGTTGTGTCACCGGAACACTTAAAACAATTAGAAAATAATGGTTATCTTGACATAGATGGCGATGATTTGAAAATTAAGTTGATAGAATCTGTTTTAGCTAAAAAAAGTCGAGAACAATTAAAAAACATTTCCAAAAATGATACTGTAACATCAAGTATTGAAATAACTGATGAAGACTTAAAAAGCAGCGGTTTTGAAATAGAGTATGATGGATTTACGAAATTACCTATAATAAATGATATTATAATCGATCATAAAAATAATAAGTCGGACGAAAAGACAATTCCAGAAAATTTGAATTGTCAATCTGAAATTTTCAATCACAATGACAATGAAAAAAATTCTAATGCATTAAATAATGAAGTGTTAATTCATTGTCACTTAAAAAATGTTAATAACGAAGAAACACTTACAGAAATATCACAAAACTGTGAAGTATTTTCTACTGGCCAAATAACACATGATTCTTCTTCACAAAAAAATCATAGAGACATATCTATTGATGTTAGTGAAAGGATAACTCTAAATACGGATATTAAACAAATTGATAATCATGAAAAAGGTTCATATATTAAAATACACGATGATGAATTATTTCATGATATAATAAAGTATTCTGAGACAAAATTATGTGAAAACAGTATAATTTTACAACAACGTGCATCTGAGTTAGAAATTAATAGAATTGATACTTCAGAATGCTTTGATATTGAAAGTGAAGTTCAAGAAACTGATGGGAAAAATAGCATAAAAACAAAACAAAAGTACGTAGATACAAAATTAAGAGACTTTGATAAAATAGTTAAAAAAGAGAGCGAAGAGCACGAAGAAATAAGTGACAATGGAAGTACTATTATAAGTAACACCAGTAAAGAATCACATATAATGTCTAACATATTAATAGAAACATGCTCTAAAAGTAAAAATGAAATCTCCCTAAAAGACGAACAAATTTGTTCACCGATATCTAATTCCCCTCTTGTTAAGCATCTAAGTACCGAATCCTTACCTTCAAAAGATAATTCTATTCATTCACCTACATCACCATCTTCATCATCAATTGATATTCGCGAAGAAAAGCATGTGAATTTTGACTCAGTAACATTAAGAAAACCAGATTCAGTAAATATAATGAAATTAACAGCAAAACGGCCAGCAGATTCAAGTTCAAGTGAGAGTCATTATCAATCCTTTGATTTAACATCATCGAGTAGACCCTGTTCGTCAGATGTAGATGGACTTTTAGCTTGCTCATCAGAATATGAATCTGCAATTTCAGTGCCTTCAAATGAATATCATACTGCTATTAGCTCATTAAGTTCAAGAGAATCTATGAAATCATTAGATTCGGAGAGTTCTGGGAACCTGGCATCTGTTGAAAATAGTGAAGCTTCTGAAACGCTAATTGCATCTACAGGAGATTTAGATTACGATATAGAAGTTCCAAATGATATTCTAGAAGAGGACATTAAAATAGAATCATATGAACAAAAAATTCCTATGCAAATAATTAGAGGAGAATCTTTACCGCTTATTGCAGAAACATCTGATAAAAAGTACAGTAGTATTTATAAAACTCAACCCTTTTCTCAGCCAACTATAAATAGCGAAAATAATGCACAAAAAATGAAAAGATCTCATGAAATGACATTTCATCCAGTTCCTAAACACATTACTAGTGATAGTTTATCCGATTCGTCATCTCATGAAGAAAAACAATATTCCAGTGAAAGTATGAGCATATCTAGTACTGAAGGTCCAGCTATACAAACAGTTGTAGAAACAACTAATGGCTATCCAAAGTCTGTAATTAGTAGTTTCAGTTTAAGTGATGATAGCGCTACACTCGCTGAAAAATCGACAACAACAAATAAAGATAATAAATATTTAAAAGAAGAAGAATTAAATCAAGACGTGACAATTTTGTCTTCCTCTTTGGTTGAAAATGAAACACTACATAATGTTTCAACACAAATAACTTCTAAATTTGAAGAAGTACAAAAGAAAGGTCATAGGCGAAGTATTAGTTCAGTAAATGAAATAGTTTTTGAAGGCATAAACTTAAATTCTTCAAAAGAAATAGACCTGAAAGATTCATCAAATGAAATAATTACGTCCAAACAATGTGACCAATCTCTGTACAATATATTAACTAAAACAACTAGTATTGAAACAAAAAAATGTGAAAATATTTTAGATTTAGGAAAAAATATCGATGTAACATCAATTTGTAAACATTCTGACTCAGGAAAACTCACCAGTCCAATATCAGAAAAACATAGTTTTGAACATATTGACGATGTTGCTGAAGCTGATGCAGCCTTTCAAATGGTACCTCATGTTTCACCAGTAATTCCTACATCTTTACCTCCAACTATACCTGAAGATCCATTTTCTGAGGACGAAGATGATCTAATTGAAGATACATCTAATAATGTCCCAAATATTATGGTGACTGAACATATGGCCCCACTTATTGATCATGGTTTCTGTTACCCTGACTTAGACTTGGAAGCTAAAGAATTAGAAATTAAATCTACTCCAGAAACTCCAGCTTCTATAAGTAGTAAAGAGTCGTCCGATACTGATCAAGGAAAAGAGTATGTTCTTAATAACAATTTTAATCCGCATGAAGAGTCATCATGTACGCTAAAAGAACATATTGCCTTAGAAAAAGTTGAAAAACTAGTAGAAAAAGATTCAATTTCTCTTGGCGAATCATTCGAAATAATTGAAAATAATGAGGAAATACCCAATTTAGAAGAAGAGTTTGTAATCGTAGATGAAATTGACAAAGATATTAAGTGCCAACTAATTAATATAGAAGGAACTGAAGATAAAAATCTTCATTCTAGTATAATAAGTGACAATACTATTATACAGGAATCAGATATTGACAAAGAATATTCAAACCTAAACTGGGTGGAGCTTCAATTTGACGATGATAACACAGTTAATGAAATATTTGGTTATAATATGGAATACGATAGACCGCCTCTTGAAGATATTAAAGAAGAAGATACTGAAGATTTGCATAGTAGCAAAGTAGGAAGTGTCGGTAGTCAGGTTAGTCAATCTATTGGCAGCTTCGGCAGTATGAAAGAATCATTTAGTAGTACTCCAGAAAGTAAAAAATATCTTGGTAAATCATTAGAACATGATAATTTGTCAATAAACTCGTTACAAGAATTTGAAAGATTAGAACAACTAGTAAGGATTGAATCAATGCAGGCCAAATCGTCTGGATCTTTAGCATCTAATACGTCCAGTTCTTCTAACAGTAGAAAAGAAGACAATTCTTTAGGATCTCTTAAAGATTTTGAAGCAATCGAAGCTGCTTGCATACAAACAGAAATGATTGAAAATAAAGCTTTAGAATCAGAAAAATTGTTAATCAATAATGAGAGTGTCTTTAAAATATATGATATCGGTCAGATAAGTGATTTTCATGTAGAACAAAATGAAGAAATTTCAGAAAAACTTCACTCAGATGATGACAATTTAACAAGCACAGACTCGTTAGATCTAAAAACAATTGTAACCGACATAAAACCATCAATTTCTGCAGAAAGAATATTTGTTGAAAGTATATCAGCTGAATTTGATGACTGCATGAACTCAAGTATATCTAGTCGAGATTTTAGTAGCTCTCTAATAGATGATCATTCTAAAGAATCTTCAAATAGAGATAGCTTAATTTTAGGCAGTAATGATTCATTAGGCCCTTCTAGTTCAACAGCTACTAATGCAACGTATCACTGTGAAACAGGATCGAATTTATCTTCTAGTTTCACAAGTGGTGGCTCCAATACAATGGTCTCCAGTATGGAAGGTTTAGACAAAGCGGGTATTAAAAATGAATGGTTTGAAGGCTCGGAGTTTATAGAGACACAAGAGAAGGACCATGATGATACAAAATACGTTCACAGGATAATCAAAATTCCTGCAGAAATTCACAAAGTATCTGCTAAAGGTCTAGAAAAGGTTGGAACACTTGATGATTTCGTTGAAAAATTTAATCCAGAAGTGTATGAAGATAAAATCGAACATACTGATGAATTTGGCAATACTGTTACTGTGAAGAAAATGCAAAAACGAATGATATTTGAAACAAAAGAAGAGTTAAATAAAGGTATTTCCAAAGAAGAATTAAACGAATGTTTAAGAAAACTTTCTGATAATATTTCGGACCAATATGAGTATAGTAATGCAACAGCAAATAATTTTCAAGGTACAAACTAAAACCTTAATTCTTTAAAAAAAAACAATTTATTATTTTTCCTTTCGAAGCCTTAAAAACTGCATGCTTTATAACAAATTGTTGTATATTGATTTTTAACCTACTACACTATTATAGTTTTTGAAGTATATTAATTTATTGTATAATTTACTAATATATCGACAGTGTAAATAAAATGTGGTGGAACTTTTAGAGAATACTATTATTGACCAACATTTAATTTTGGTTCTATTAATTCCTACTCAAAATATGAATTTTGAGTAGTTGTATAATATAAAAAGTAATTTGAGAATTACATTATTGAAAAAATACTTAACATATACATTGTGATCGGTTTATTATAAATCACTTGATTACTCGTAAAATAAATACAATATTGGGAAAATGATTTTTGATTTTAGCTACATTTAATTTTGGATTTATCAGCTAATGATTACTTTTTAGGATCATTCCTCACAACTTATAGTAGTGTCAACTTCATTTTTTTAATGAAAACATACATATAATAATAACTTATAAAATAAAAAATTGTCCAATTAAGAAAATATTGATCGATAACAACTTTTGAACCAGTATTTTAGATATTATTAACAATTTAAAGTTATAACTGAAGATGAGGAGTGGTTACTACCATTTTTATCACTAGTCATTTTTCTGGCCGTACTCTTCGTCCCGCCTATATTTAAAAATGAAAATAACATACAAAGTACTGGTCCAAAATATGTTATCATATATATTAATACATATATTTTATAAATTAATTAAATAGGTATGTTGTCAATAAAAAAAAATAAAGTTGACACTTCTGTACGTTGTAAGAAATGTTCCTAAAAAGTAATTATTAGCTAAAAATCAATAATGATAGGTAACTAAAAGTAATCAAAAATCCTTTTTTCAATTTTGTGTTTATTTTGCGAGTAATCAAGTGATTTATGATAAACTGATCACCTTGTATTTTGCTACACATATGTTAAACATTTTTATAAAAATTACATCACTGAACTTTATTATTGTCAATATAGTTTATATATTTTGTTAAAAAATTAATTAAAGAAAATTTATTTCAGGTCCAACTGAAGAAAATCAAGTAGTGTCCAACATCAGTACCCTTAATGGTAAACATTGTAGTGTGTAATTAATTTGCATGACTATCAAATATATATTTATGTATTGTTATTTAACGTTTTGTATCTAATAGACAAAAAGGTATTCCAAGCACGTAATTAAGTCAATATTTTAATGGATGATAAGTGTAATTTTAATAGTTTACTAATCATGAGAAAAATGTGAGCAGTTAATATACTTATTAACTTATTCTTATGCCTTCTATTTCAGTTATTAGGGGTCGACACCCTATTCGTTATTTTTTATCTCAGTCCCTTTACCTATACTAGTACTGGTAAAATAACTGCAGTTATTTTCGTATCACTATCTATAACGTCAACCCACCTCTTTTTTAGATATCTCTTTTCCTCTTTTTTTGCCATTGAGATATGTAAATTAAATTAAATCTTCATTGTAATAAAATTAATTTTTTATCCTCTTACCTCTACTGCTTTACATTATTTTAGTTTAATTTATACTGCTAACTCTCCATACTATTTGTTATAAAAAATATATTCATTGTTGACTGTGTATACTATCAATTACAATTCAATCTATTACTAAGGAAAACAAGTATTCTTATTTGCTTTTCTTTAAAGTCAAACCTTGATGAACTCCTACATTAATTATAAAACCTTCAATTTCTCCAAAAGGGGATTATAATTATTTGAATTATATCAATACATTTCTATAACAACTTATCTTTATTAATTCCTACTTTAAAACGAAAAAAATATTTTCGTAGTTTCATACCTAATTATACAGGGTACTTTTTTATCATAACCCACTCAATTATTTGCAGAATATATATAATTTAAACATTTTTTTTTTGGTTTTCTTTAGTTATACATTATTCTTGAATTATTAACTATTTAAAACTTTTTATGTGCATCCCTTATGCCTTGTAAGGGTGTCAATTTTGTTTTTTAAATGGGAACACATATTTTTAATTTAATAAAATGTTTGGATTTTTAATTCAATAGTAATTTTTTAGTATAACTTTATTAGTTTATTAGATATAAACATTTAAAGTTTCAAATTTTTAAGTTAATGTACATGTATAATACACAAGGGATTATAAATACCGATAGCTATTTAGATTTTTAAGACATTGCTGTCATAGTCACGGACTATTAATTATCAATTATGACTATCAATAGATATACTTTCTGTATTGTCAGTTAGTGTATTTATAAACTCACAACAATGTGCCTTACTACCATTGATAATAGCAATGCTGTGTACGTGCTAATATCGATATCATAAAAAACCAATTAGCTACCTGTATTTGTAAACCCTTATACATGTATATTAACTAAAAAATTTGAAACTTTAAGTGTTTATATCTAATAAACAAATAATGTTATACTAAAAATTCAAATGCCATTTACTATTAAATTAAAAACTCAAACATTTTATTAAATTAGAAATATGTGTTCCTATTTAAAAAAAAACAAAGTTTACACCCTTACCAGGCATAAGAGATGAACTTAAAAAGTATTGCATAGTTAATAATTCAAGAATAATGTGTAACTAAAGATAACCAAAAAAAAAAAAATGTTTAAATTATCATTACTCTGTAAGTAATTGAGTGGGTTACTATAAAAAAATCATCCTGTATAACTATATAAATTAGCCCTAACTCGTACTAGGAAATAAGTCAAGTAACTAATGTACTGCTTTTAATAAGTTATATTTGTGACTTCCTCAATCGTATTTAGTGATTTAATATACATAATTTATACTTAGAGTAAAAAATTTTAAGTACAATAAATTAGACTTAGATGCTTTTATATGATGATTAGTAGAGTTGCAAAGGGATGCAACAAAATCGGAGTTGAAGTATGAAATTAGTATGGACGACGATACGGAGATCGACCTACGGGAGCATGATTGGCGATTTCAACATCAAATAAAAAACGGTTATTAATTACTATACAAATAATAATTTCGTATGATCCACTAAATGTACTCATTTTTTAATAAATCATTTCATTATTCATGTCTTATACTTTTGTAAAAACGATTGTTTTCTACATAAAAAAAAATATTAATATATGGTGGTTCGTGGATGCTGGTGGTGGGGGTGTGACTTTAAATGTAATACCGCTAGTTATAGGTATATAAAATTGTCAAATTAAATATAATAAAATAAAACACAATACACATTATTCTAAAGGTCACAGAAGAAAATAAAAATGAAAATAATAATAATAGTTATTATACTATATAGCAAACGATAACGATGAGCGTACAAGTAGTTAATTCTAAAAATAATTACACAATATAGTAATAAACTAATATTTTACTGAATGGACGACGCTGTCGGTCGCTCAAACACTGCTCATGTGTGCATGCGTACCCGCATATACTAAGAGAAACAACTTAAATGTTCGCACACGACAAATGTATTATAACTATTTTAAAATTTACATTTTTAATAAAAATTTAAAATTAAGAATATACAATACATTTTCTTCTTTTAATTAATTTTAGTAGGGGGTGCGATCGTCTCGTCGTCCAAACGAGTGGCCACTGAAATAGGAATATATTGTTAATAAAAATAAAAATTTTAAATAAAAAAAATAAATGGTTTTACCTCATTAAAACGTTATAATTTAGATTCCTTTACATATGTTTTACATAATAGTTACAAATGTTTTAGAAAGTATTAATTTATAACGTTTTTTTTTTTAAATAACGTTATTTATTGTAATTCCTTTTTATAATTTTTTTTTGTTTGGTTTGCTTAATGTTTCTGCTATTCTTAGCATATTAATGTGATTATAATTTTTGTTTCACTATTTTATATTTTTAAACATTATAAAAAAAATTTCAAACCATAATAAGAGGGAAAATAAATATTACATTTTATGTATTTTATAAGAACTATTTTAACGCACAATGTTTTAAAAAAGTTGAATAGTTTTTAGTAATTAAATTTTACTAAACTAAAAATTGTACATAGTTAGAGTATCATAATGAAGTTATCCCCGAATCTATCCTTTCAAATTTTGTTTTATTTCATTTTTCGTAAGCAGTATGGTGAAATATTCAAAACACTGAACTTGCAACAAAGTACAATAAAGATCCAGATTTTGCGTTAAATTAAAAAAGCTAAATGCGCAGCTATGTACTACTTGCCAACGTGATACACTCGTATAATAAACTTTTAGATACTGATTATTTTTTCGTATATAATAAAATTATTTAAACTTTTTTATTCGACTACTTTGAAGATACTTGGGTTGGTCGCATATTTCGTAATAATAAAAGAAGAAATCCAGCTTTTTTAATATAAATGTAAAATTTCTATGATCTTGATCAAAATGATTGATCAAAAACAAATAATTCCTTTAACTCCGTTTTAAACACTGCCCACCCTTCTATTTCGAAATTTTTCAAATGCCTTATAAAAAGAAGATAAATTAAATAGACTCAAAATCGGATAGATTATAGCAAGAAAGAAACAACCTACACAAAAAAAGAAGTACCATGATAGCGCCACTAAAATTAATAAATTTTTACCAAATTTTATAACACATCCATTAAAGTTTTTTTTTAATAAATTGGATCAAAAAGGATCAAATTTTTAATTTTTTAATTTTAAAACTTAATATTTTAAAAACATGTTCAAAAATATTAAAATGTGAGATCAATCTATTCTCTAGTTACACTATTGGTTCTGACTTTCTACCAAATTAGCTTAGTAGTTTATTTTAATAGTTTTTTTCGATAGCAATTATACTACCTTAAATTAACATTTTTTTAGTTAATATCCAAATTAATAATTGTTAATTTTTTAATTATCACCTAATTTATATTTGTTACTTATGATATGCAATTTAATCTAAACATACTTAAGTTTCACGACATCATTATGATTACAAAATTCATCATGCATTTTGAAACTGCCGATTGAAAGTTTTCTCAGTTATTGTAAATAAACAATTTTATATATTGTATAAATTATGTCAATTTAGTAAAATGTTTTTTATTTATCTAAAAATTTTAGGATTGTTTTTTTGTTAAGTGTCTATAAAATGACAAAACCTTCAAAAATCAGTGTAATGCAGTAACACAATAATAAATTAAATAACGTTATATTTTAGTAGTTTTTGAAAAGTCATAAAAACCATTTGAATCTAATAAAAAAAAATGTCTAGTTGGAACACTAATTATAAGTTTATTTTATAATTTATATCATATACAAATATTTTATTACATTAAGTTTATATAAAATTCTATCTTTACTTAAGACCCTCTATCATTTGTTTTAATAGCAGTATTCATTAAAATTAAAAATAAAAAAAATAATTTACAGATAACAGGCTGTTATTAAACTTGAAAAATATATTTACTATTAACAATAATAAATATAAGTCACAAAAAAAATAAAAATTATAAATATTTATGTTTCAGAATCTGACGACGTAACTAAACCCGGTCCATCAGAAAGGTAAATAAATATTCCATTTGAAACTTGATTGACATTTAATTTTACTGAAAAGTGTTCTTATAAAGAAATTTGTGGAAGATATAACTTACCAAAAAGATTTTTTGACCAAAATGATGTTTTTTTGTAATTCTAATCGGAGGCTCCAATACCTTTGGATAACCCTATTATATTTATATTATACCAACTTAATATATTATTATATTATAATGATTGCGATATATATTAAGTTTATTGAGAAATATTTGGTAGTAAGACACATTGTTGTAAATTTATAAATACACTGTCAATACAGAAATTATATCTATTAATAGTTATAATTGGCAATAAACACACCGCGATTGACAGCGTTGTCATAAAAAATTAAAAAGTGAAAAATAAATATAGTTTAAAAAACTAAAAAGCATGTTTTTTAGTTTTTTTAACACGCTTATATTAGTTTCACCTGTATGTATGTATGCATGTATGTATGTATGTATGTATGTATGCATGTATGTATGTATGTATGTATGTTTGTAACTCTCCAAACACCACGCGTTGTCGCATATTCCGTCGTCTAGACTAGACTGTCATAACGCATTCACCCCTCCTCACGCCTCGCTCACCACACGACGGCACACTATTCCTATAAAAATTTATTTTTAGTTATCGTACCCGTACACGCGTGCTTGTCATCAATATTATATATATATATAAACAAATTTTTATTTTGACTGACCAATACCGCCCGCGTCTAATCCGCCTTACGTATATATATTTATATATTCCTACCACCGTTTATACCTCAGGTATAACGTTAGTCCGATCCGCCCGCCCACAAAATACGGTTATACCTAGTGCATGATACGTTTACGTACTTAAATCGCTTTACTTGTATATATTCTAATTACTATTAAAATTTATATATTAACACGATTTATTCTAAT